TTTCTCTCGTCAATGATATGTTAATGATGTAATGAAAAACTTTGTTTCATTTGAGAAGGGTTTATAGATAAAACGGATTGGGAAACGCATGTTGGAAAGTTAAGAATATTAAGCGACTGTGCCAGGTTAGCAACGGAGCAATGCACAACACTCGAAGTCGCTGAATTTCCAGGCTTAGTAATGTATCCGGACAATACTGTAACAGATAGAGATGTCGAAAGTTCGTATCGAGTTGCATCAAATGAAACATTAGGTAATATTATACAGGCAAATACTCTATGTATTGTAATAAAGTACGTCGTTTGTGGAACATTGCATGGATCATTCTTAGAACTTCTGGGAAAGCCTGAAACATTTAACAAATTTTAACTCATGGGTTTAAAATGTATTCTCATCGAGATTCAAAATGCATGAGCTTGTTTCTCTTCTTCTTTTCTCCTTATTATTAATATTGTTGTTTGGGATATTAAATACAATTCACTTGGTAAAATATACAGTGAGGAGCAAGATTGAACCAATGAAAATGTTTTTGTAGAAAATAACAATTTATTTACATATTCTAATAAGGAATGAAAGGAACTTGTTGCATATATTAATTAATATTACTTATTAATATTATTACTAATTTATTATTATTATATATTATTATATACTAATAATAATAATAATAATATTATATAATATAATATAAGTATAAGTATAATAGTAAAGTATAAGTAGTATAAGTATAATATAATAATATTATATATTATTAATATATTATAATAATAAGATGTGTATAAGAGACAGGCAGGATACCGTCTGAAATATACATATAATTATATTACTGTCTCTTATACACATCTAGATGTGTATAAGAGACAGGCAGGATACCGTCTGAAATATACATATAATTATATTACTGTCTCTTATACACATCTAGATGTGTATAAGAGACAGGCAGGATACCGTCTGAAATATACATATAATTATATTACTGTCTCTTATACACATCTAGATGTGTATAAGAGACAGGCAGGATACCGTCTGAAATATACATATAATTATATTACTGTCTCTTATACACATCTAGATGTGTATAAGAGACAGGCAGGATACCGTCTGAAATATACATATAATTATATTACTGTCTCTTATACACATCTAGATGTGTATAAGAGACAGGCAGGATACCGTCTGAAATATACATATAATTATATTACTGTCTCTTATACACATCTAGATGTGTATAAGAGACAGGCAGGATACCGTCTGAAATATACATATAATTATATTACTGTCTCTTATACACATCTAGATGTGTATAAGAGACAGGCAGGATACCGTCTGAAATATACATATAATTATATTACTGTCTCTTATACACATCTAGATGTGTATAAGAGACAGGCAGGATACCGTCTGAAATATACATATAATTATATTACTGTCTCTTATACACATCTAGATGTGTATAAGAGACAGGCAGGATACCGTCTGAAATATACATATAATTATATTACTGTCTCTTATACACATCTAGATGTGTATAAGAGACAGGCAGGATACCGTCTGAAATATACATATAATTATATTACTGTCTCTTATACACATCTAGATGTGTATAAGAGACAGGCAGGATACCGTCTGAAATATACATATAATTATATTACTGTCTCTTATACACATCTAGATGTGTATAAGAGACAGGCAGGATACCGTCTGAAATATACATATAATTATATTACTGTCTCTTATACACATCTAGATGTGTATAAGAGACAGGCAGGATACCGTCTGAAATATACATATAATTATATTACTGTCTCTTATACACATCTAGATGTGTATAAGAGACAGGCAGGATACCGTCTGAAATATACATATAATTATATTACTGTCTCTTATACACATCTAGATGTGTATAAGAGACAGGCAGGATACCGTCTGAAATATACATATAATTATATTACTGTCTCTTATACACATCTAGATGTGTATAAGAGACAGGCAGGATACCGTCTGAAATATACATATAATTATATTACTGTCTCTTATACACATCTAGATGTGTATAAGAGACAGGCAGGATACCGTCTGAAATATACATATAATTATATTACTGTCTCTTATACACATCTAGATGTGTATAAGAGACAGGCAGGATACCGTCTGAAATATACATATAATTATATTACTGTCTCTTATACACATCTAGATGTGTATAAGAGACAGGTAAAAATGAATAAGCGATTAAGACTTGGATTAAGAAAGGTATATTAAATAATCATAGCGAATTGTTTTTTCTTTTTAATTTCGGAAAGAGAAGTCTTTTCTACAAACCACGGTTTATTATCATCATTTCTCATTTTGAACGATTTCTTGCTGATTTTAATTAAGTAAAACTGAATCCTATTGGATATCCATTTTAGAAACTGAAAATAGCAGTCTGATTTCTACGCAAGATTCCGTAAACATTCTACAAGAAACTCTGTATTCATCAAATGCGACAGACATTGACAGAGAAGAGAATATTTCACGTCAAGAAGTATTACGTATGGCTAGCAAATCACTCGACATGCTAAATACTAGAGAAGAATCAGACGGCGACAAAGTTCGGCCGGCATCATGCATTGATATCAAAACCACAACTGTGCCTGTGGAAAAGAAAACTATTTTCGGTGCAAAGTACACTAGAGGCGCACCGCCTCGAGGTAATTTAAAGTGAGTATCCTATTACTAACATATAAGCAATGATAATAATATAAAATTAAAGTTTTATTATTTAGTTATTGTATATGTCAAAACACTCTCAACTAACGTTAGTGTCGCAATAGTTCTTCAAAATGTTTATGTCTAGATCAAAATGTTGTTCAAGGCTTGATACAAAAGTTAGAGAGTTAGAATTCGACGATTAGGAAATAGAAATTTACTGATTTAAACGTTCTTGCTGTATTTTATTTTATAGAAATATGGCGGAAATAACAGCAAAACTACCCTGTAAAACTGTTAAGCCACCGAATGTTTTAATATTTGCGGATAGTATTATAGCACTTAACAATGTGAAGAGTGTATTAGAAGAGTCTCTCGGGACATCTAAGTATGTATGCTTATTAGTTTATTGTTGATTCTAATCTATTGGTGAAACGAACATTTTATACCATATTAAATACCAATTTCTTTTACAGTTATACTATTTATGCATTATCATTAGACGAAGCACGTAGCGATGCGTGGGTGGACAATGCGGTTTTAGTTGTTGTTTGCGGAAATGTTGGGAATGAAGTCGGAAGCCAGCTCGTCGAATATATTCTTGGTGGTGGTAAACTTCTCGCATTATGCTCCGACGTGCTCCATGTATTGCTTCCATCGTTCAAAACTGCGGAAGTACGCGAGAATGAGCTTGTTCACTTTTCTTACGGAAAATGGAAACATGTAAGAATGATGCACCATATTTTCTGTTATCAAGCGTCTCCTATACGAACAAGATTTTCTCAAGATCATGAGGATGTCAAGTAAGATTTTCATGTACTGTTGCGATAATTTCAAAGAATTCATTAAATCTCCTGCAATATATATATATATCATTCGATAAGTTTTTTCCTGACAAACGTTTCAATGTCAACAACAAATTGTACAGAACATTTTTAAGCATAGTTTTTCTTTATTTGTACGTAGTTTTTCTTGCTATACTATGAGATAGCTATTATATTTTGTGTATTTAACATAAGTTTTAATGAACATTGATTTCGTATTCGCAAACAATCATTGACAATTTTATCATTTAGAAAACGAAACATGATTTTACATTTTTTCATTGTTAATAATATCCAAAAATTTGGTTTCTGCCATGAAAATATTGGAACTTCGTGTTACACAATTTGTATATAAATAATTTTTTGAAACATTTGAAGTCTCCTTGTTACAATTACTTTTAGTAAATCATTTTAATAACTCGGAGATCTATGATGAAAAAAATAACAGAAATATGAACGACAAATAAATAATAACAGATGCTTTGTGTCAAATACTTTGTTCTAAATGTTGAACTATTTAATTACACGCTAACGGCGATAGTGTTTATGGCGAGTTCAAATGTTTTGAAAAAATCTGTTTAGAGTATCTAGCATATCTACGCCGACTTCGTCAAATGTAAAAGATAGAAGAGGAAACTCGCATTTATTTGATGTAAAAGTGCTTGGAACCGAGGAGACATGGCATACACCAAGCATTTTACTTGCCAGCCCAACAGGAAACGTTGGTAAAATTGTTTTCTCCCAAATACATCTGGAGGTAAATCCTATGCAATATGAACTTGAAGAGAACAAATTTAAGGCTTTAACAGAAAGCAATGATGCTAGGATAGAAATACTTAATGATCTGTTAAGTGTACATTTGGGACTTGAACTTCGTAAAACTACAAGTCTGTCTCTAACTTACACGCCAGCTTACTTCTTGGGCCGACACGAGGTAAGACAGTAATAACATTCATACAACGTAGAACTGTTATATTTGTGACATAGTTCATTAATTTATTTATTTGATGATTTATCAAGAACATTTTGAAAAGTTTCATAAATACAGACACACATCAAAATATCTTTCAATGTGTATAAAGAGTGGTCCATCTAAAGAGGAACTAATTATAATATAATGTTTCTATTTATCTTCTTAAAATTTTGAATAGAATTAATATTTAGAAATAATATGGTTTTCATTACGTTTTGCAGTTGAAGTTGGAAATGTTAAACAGATTAAAAGACAAGATGGAATCCAACGACACCTTAAAATTACCAAATTTGGAAATACAATTTTGCCGAAGTAATACATGTTCCAAACCGGCTTCGTGTTCGTTTCTTCCAATTATGGTACACCAGTGTCCTGAACATTTCTCAACGATCGAATATTTTGAGGTAATATGTCTCGAAGCAATTTTATACTTAAATTGTTTATATGTAGCACAGTGGTCCACTCAAATTGCACGTTCCAAGCAACTTTTAAAGTATGGGTTATATAAAAGATTTTATTAACATTTTATTAATAATTTATGTGTAGTTCAATTTTACGTATAATTCTTTCTTTTTCATTGCATAGTATAGCTGACCAAAAAATACGTTCAAATATGTATAATAACAGGACGTTGACCTGATCTTCGAAAATTGGAAAATTTAATGGAGAAATTAATGTTTCCTATTATTTTATTAGTTATGTTGTAATTATAATAATAGTAACAATAATAATAATGTATTAGTATTAGCTCTCTCTTCTAACAGTTTGTTAATCAATTTTTAAGCAGTTGAAATTAACATAATTAATACTTTTCACAGAATTTAACCACGAAAGATTTAGGTCGTTTAGTAATATACGCGGATGTAATGAAATCATCCATGGACGTTGTAGGCGGGGTAGAATTACAACATGGTTTAGCTGTTATTCCTAGTCAGCAAACTCAAGGACGAGGTGCGTATATTAAACCTTTTTTAACAATGTATAAATATATAAAATTATATTAAAGATACAATTATATTATATTTATGATTTATTAATTTTTTATAAATAATTATAAAAAGCTACTTGTCCTTTTTTGCATACAATAACCGTATTACTCAGTTGTTTTAATATAAAATGAGCGTTTCTAAAATGTTTCTGATATTTATTTTATACTGGCTTGTTCTGCAACTTGTATCTTTACGATCCATGTTTTAAACAATTACGTTGTTGGCCGAAAATGTCGGAATCTGGCGTTACATTTTTTTTAGGGTGTTTAAGAAAGAATATATTAGATTGAGATGTGCATTAATAAAATTTTAGGACGAAATAAAAACCAATGGTTAAGTCCTAAAGGAAGTGCATTATTTACGTTACAAATGCATATATCGACTGATACTATACTTGGGCAACGTATTCCACTCTTGCAGCATTTAGTATGTGTCGCGATTGTATCTGCAATTAAATCTCTACCTGAATACGAGGTTTGGTTTTACTTATTTTAATATATATTACAATATATCTTTTTATTACGTATATGTAGATGTAAGAACTAATATTTATTAATAAGAAAACAAAACAAAACAAAACAATGAAAACTAATTAAAAACGAGACTACTATATGCTACCTTAAAATTGCAACTTATAACAATAATTTTATAAAATAACTGCATTTCGCATAACATAAGAATATCCCGTAAAATTGATTTTCCTAAGTAAATAACGTCATAATAAACCTTGTATTTTGTACATCACGATATAGAAATAATGTAAACTTAACTCAGATCCTTATTTTTGATGCTAGGATGTTGATCTGACAATAAAATGGCCTAACGACATATATATTGGGAAGAGAGTTAAAGTTGGTGGTATGCTAATTCAAACTACAATAGCATCTGGTGTTAACATCTGTGATGTCGGTGAGTAATTTACGAATATAAATTATTGCATTTCCTTCGGGTTAGTTTATTCGTCCTTATTCACACGACGTTCGACATAAATAGACATACCATGGGATTACTCTACATGTTAAACTTCTACTTCCTAATCCACTTACCACATTTTTGGTCATCGACCATTTATTCCTAGGTGTTGGAGTCAATTTGTCCAATAGCGAACCACTTTGTTGTATTAATGATGTAGTAAAATTGATTAATAAAACTTTCAATAAGCAGTTAAAGCCCATCTCTTGCGAACAATATTTTGCCATTGTGTTTAATGAGATTGAAAGGTGGGTGGACACTGTACAAAGTGGAAATATAGACGAATTTTTGGATGCTTATTACATGTATTGGGTTCACAGGTAAGTTTCTCAAGTTTTTGTTTGCTTATTAAATAATTTGCTTACGAGGTCGCTGATCGTCAACTATTAAAACGAGCTGGAAAGCTCGAATAATCGTATCTACTCTTTCCAAATTGTTTATTTTTGTTTATAAGCTAAAGGACAGTTGGGGAGAATTTACCGTACTTCGTTAACAAGAAATATTATGCGCAAGACAAAGATTTGTCGTTACTTTCTTATAAATCTGGCATTTTTTTTATTGAAGAAACGTGCGCCCTTTTTTCTTTTGTAAAATTGGTCTTTAAGAATACGGAGTATACCAAAATATGAATTTGTGACTTTGAATTTTCAAAGATATAGATTTATACAATTTAACGTGTCCTGCATAATACTAAAATCGTATCTTGTATGTTTACAGTGATCAAGACATAACAATAATATCAAGAACAGGTACATCAGAAAAAGCTAAAGTGTTGGGTATCGATGAGTATGGATTTTTACGTGTTCGTGGGGAAAATGGATCTATATTCACTGTACATCCCGATGGAAACAGATTCGATCTCCTTAAGGGACTCGTAACTCCTAAATAATTCGACTAACACGTAAAAATAATTTCGTTGAGGATTGTTCAGTCATTAGTTATATATTGTTATTCTGTTTTATTTTTATACGTCAGTAAACAAGGTAGTTTTTTTACTTTTACTTTGTTTGTTTCTAAATATAATAAATACACTGTGTGAACTATATTTAATCTTCTCCTATTATACCCTGTCACAGAACTTTTATTATGTACTGCTTATTAAACATATATATGATCATGTTTATGTAGTAAATCTAATAATAATCCGGAAAAGAAACGTCATTAACATTGCATCAACCAAATACAAAAAGACACAGGTGTAGATTTTATAATTATTTATTCACTGTTAATAAAATTTGAGGTTTTTTACAAAAGTTCAATTAAGGTCATAATAAACTTGACCGATTGGCACCAGAATATAAAATTGTATTTGAAAAATGAGAAACATTATAAGTAATACCTCACTACTCTATGCGATAATATTTTTTTCCTCATTACGAATTATTATATATATATGTATATATCAACTTCGATTTAAACATATAAACATATAACAAATGGTATTTATCTTTCAATACTCGAGGAATTTCTCTTAGAAATTACATAACACGTCAATACCGCACACTAATTATCTAGGCATAGGTAATATAGTATTTCGTAGATAAAGTAACAATAAATTGACCTTTGCTTTCTCCGTGAGATTATTTATCTATCAGGTCACCATTTGATTCATTAATTGTCAGAAGAAGCTATACAAGTTTAGTTGACTAGTTACAGCTATATTTAATCGTTAGAACAATTTTATTTAATTAAACTTCCAAGCACAATGAGTAATAGGTAAGTATTTAATCAATTTGTTCAGATGCGAAACGAGATGTGGAATGCATCCGATTATTTTGGCTATTGATCGTACGCGATTTTCGAAATTCTGTAATCGTTATTTATGATTTCCCATTCGCGATCGCTACATTAAACCAGTTTAAATGAATTGTTCTATACGACAAAACATTTTCCGCTGAATCTATATTTTCGTTGTCTATAATTTTGCGACGATTAATTAATTCGTTTAATCTACGCTCGGTTGTGAGGCAAACACACAAAGCTGATTCTCTTTGTGACTGATCATTCAGAAAATTGAACAGACTAAAGTATTGTTTCTTGTAAACCAAATGAATGTACCAAAATACCAATTTCGATTGAAAAAGCTTTAAAATAACAAATAAACGATGTTTTGTTCAGTTCTTTGTCGCTTTTGCCTTGCTCGTAAAATCATAGAATTAAATCAGTCATCTATGATTATCTACATTATCGTTAATTCTAATTCGACTTCACAGCAAGCCTGTAATGCTTGAGTATTTTAAGGTGGGGGGGTACGTAAATAGGTGGAATAATTCTCTATTAACCCTCTAGCGGCGGTCTATCGATGATCGTTCATTTGACGATCGAATTAAATAAACTGGCAAATTCGGTTAGGTATCTTTAACCCTTATGTCAATACCATTTATTCTACTTTATTCAGTTATTATTCTTTTCTTTGTTAAAAGCAAATATCATGCTGTGCTCTTGTTAAGAAATTACCAATAATTCAGAGAAACAAATAACTATAGCGTAGACGACACAGGAATAGTTAAGTTCAGTGAAAAATGAGATTAACTCATTTGAATCAATAATGACGAAAGAAAATTCATGTTAAAGTAAAATAATATAAAACAAACGTGTACCATTTATAGACATTTATAAATTTGCTTTCAAATTTTTTATCCCGTGCACTTTTTCTGTGAAATTGTACTGCTTTGAAAGTACTTTTGCTGTCACAAAAACGAATAAAATAATATTGGCTAGCTCTTGAGGCCAAATACTCCGCTGTCTATTGTTCAACGATATCGTGGTTGTTAGATTTGTAATTGTTGTAATTTGTAACAATTTTGTTACTTGGCAACAAGAATCGACAACAAATTTTGAAAACAAATTGGAAATTAGTGCTCGAGTACCTCGGTATTAACACGAGGGTTGAACAAATTTTTGAAACGAAATTGTGAATCGTCTTAATTGTAAGCACAATCAGTTGTACAGTTGGAAAAATGGGCCCGCCGCTTGAGAGCCATAATGTCAGAATGTCGCCAAAATGTTTAATATTTTTAATATTCGTAAATTAATTTCTCTGTAACCTATTTCGACAAGAAAAGGTATTTGCGACAGTACTTGGCACTTAACAATAATGTCGAAACGAGGATGCGATTGATTTTTGTGAAATTGAATTCCCCGAAAGTCAATGTTAGTGGTGCTTGCGACAACTCTCGCGATTACTTAACTATTTTTAAAAACTCGCACACATTCGCATACATATTACTTACATATGTATACCTAAATCTAATGTGCTTTCAGTGTTATTCAGATTTTGTAGTCATCGGCAGTTATATACCTACATATATGTTTATGTATTGTATATGTATAGAAGTACACGTGTATTTATTCGATTGGATATTTCACTTCCACTTATGATATTATTGTACGAATAACATTTATCTAATGAATGTAATAACGAGTTGTCAAATAACAATGAAAGTGTCCATCGTCCATCGACACATACGTTTTCTCAATTTTACAAATTCTTTTTCGTCTAAATTACAAAACTTTCTAAACAGTACGTAAAATGGTAGATAATTTTGTGTTTAACACGAACAATGGTAAAACTTGCCGGACTTTGAAATGCTCTGAATATTTTCCGAAAGGTAGAAATAAATTATTATTATTATTCCTATACGTCTTTCGACGATAAACATTATCATGCCTTTTCATTTTATTCTTACAATTACTCCGATGAAGCGATTCTTAACATTAAAACAATTCGAATTCTATACGTATTATACATGTCATTTGAATATAATCGTAAAGCATTTTGTAACGTTCATTTCGATTTCTCTGGCAACATTTTCATAGTCTTTGCAGCTTCGCGTGTAACACATAGCACACCGAAATGGATCAGCAACTCACAGTTGCGTTTCATTCCATCACGATGAATTAGTAACCTTTTTATATTATCTAGCATTATTAAAAAATTAAAAAGTATCTACATATGCATCTAGAAATATCTTCGAAAAATATTTATAGTGCGTGTGCAGTGAAAGAAATTTTAATATCTATACATATAGCTTCCTCACATTCGCTCATCCAACAACATGTTTTCGAAGAAAGGTATTGCGAAAACCTAAACAACTGTGTTCTCAATTGAATGTATACATTGACACACGCATAATTTTGTATAACAGGATTGGTGCTATATACGAGTAGGTATGATACATATGTGTTGTATAGTATTATAGATTAGGATTTAGACATGTAAATTTAAAATTTGTAACGATCCGATCATTTTTAGATGGATTAAATACAATTTTTAAATGATAAAATTATAATAAATATATCATTACAACACTGTGAATCTACATATTGCAATAACACAAAAATGTTCTTCGTTAATAACTCGTAAACAAAGCCGCGGATTGCATATTCGCTACGGAAAAAATTACTTCAAATAACCTGAGGAATCTTCCATTTTCGTATTGCGAGACATTTTTGGGACACCCTGCATACAGAATTATATCGTGACTACGATGAAATACGAAAATGTCAACTAAATATAGCGATATGAATTGATGAAACATTATTCACACCATATAGTTCGCTCTTCCATTTTCTACCCTAAAAATTTCACAGTAAAAAGTTACATGGCATAATACTTGACTAATACTGCATGTCTTAGCAATTAATTCCGTTAAAATTAGTGTACCTAACTAGGTCCATGCTAAATCAACAGTTCGTATCACGAGCTAAATTCATTTACCATATTCTCGTGCCAACAATATTACATTTTATACTTTACGTTTATTTTACATAAAACAAACAGAAATCTCGATACTATTAACATGCAATGCATAATAATACTGGGTATAATCGAATTTATCATACCTTACGTCTTACACGATGAATTTTCGATAAAAAAAAAAGAAACGACATCGAAGGCTTAGATACTACTTCGCTAACGCCCTTAATTATTTTATCGTATATTTAAAAAAATGTTCGTTACAATTATTAGTGAAAGTAAAGAACTGGCAGTTAAAAGTTCACGGTTGTAATTTACACATTCTTATGGGTTTTAGTCTCGAGGGGAAAAATAATATTTGATATGATTTAGATCGACCCTACTACGATACTAATCTACTAAATGTAATCTGACACTAAGAGGTGACACAATTCATTGCCATGAAATATATTCGATATTCTCGAAGAGTATGATACAAACTCCATAATACGTGAACCTGTGCTCTCCGTAATTACGCCGTACTTTTGATTATCAATGACTCAGTTTATTAAATAAACACCTTTAACGCTTTTTTATAAATTTATATCGTACCGTACCTACGCTCTTTGTCCACAACTGAATAGATCTTTTTATATAGTGAAGTGCGGTTGAGTATATAGTTTTGTTTTCATCTACATTGATTCACGTCCTAATTCCTAAGATCACACGACAAACGTACTTTTTCCAATGCATATTAAAATGGAACCTTCGAAGTTCAATTATCGTAGCAATCAAAACAAATACACACGGGGCGTAAGTAAATTGATTTGAAAGTTATTAATTATCGAGTTTCGAGTGTATATGTGACTTTCAAAATTTCAATTATTTATGTTTGGAAGACAATGTCACATATTGGAAAATAGTGTAGGACCTCTCAAGTTTCTTTTTAGTATAAAGAACACACGTATGTGGGTTTGTATGTAGCATGTATGTAACTCTGGATCATTGTGTGTTTCACACGTCGAGTATTTCGCGATTTATTTTATATATATAGAATTTGCTTGCTTAGTTAGTATAACGATGACTGAACGCATGGACGTGTGTAACGAAGTAATAAAATAAAATAATAGTACTGATAAATACGGATCTACGAATGAGAATACTGTTTTTTCGGTTGAGTTGGGCAAAAAGTAATCAATGTCACATTATTCGACAGAATGAATTATACTAATATGCTTAGAATGCAAAAGAATTTTAGTTTCATTAATTAAATTATTTTGATTTTCGTGGGAATATTATTGGCGGGTTGACTTTCGGCACTTGACGCATTAACGATTGCTAAGTAATCGAACGATCATGATCAATAAATAATTTAAACAATCGAAGAAAACGTAATCGCTGGTCGTTATTAACGTAGAATTCATTGATCATGAAACG